TAGGCAGTTTCTGCACATCATCATCAGGAAGCATTCACTGTGTATGCTCATATACTACCTGTCAATGGCTGACTGAAAGTTCTGTAACACTGGTACCATTTATTGCGTGTGTTTCAATTTTTAAATGCATCTTAAATATTTAAGCACAATAAAATTAAAACATTTGGAAACACTAATTTGCTTCAGAGTTTTAAAAATACAGTAAGTAGAATCCAACAAACTACAGTTGCAGATGCCTCAGAGTAACTTTCTAATACAGATTTCTGCAGTTCCCATCAGAATTTGTTTTCTGTCTCTGAGAAAGTTTAATCTCCACATCAATGAGAACACCTCTGTCTTCATCATACTAAGTTGTATAAGAAGGAGCATCTGTCTACAATGAGAGTGTTATTTGTACCTGGTTCTCGGGAGAGACTGAATTCTGAAAGAGATCATACTTTTCTGTGTAGTTAAACTTGGTTTTACCAAGCTGAACATGTCAGTTTGGGGCTTGAGTGCTTCATTCCAAATCTTCCTATAAACTACTAGGGCATTCCAGACAGCTGCCTTTCTGTCAGCCAACTCTGTACAGGAGAGTCCATTAGTATGGGACTTTACTACGGATGTTTCTTAAAATTGATTAGAATTTTGTCACATGTTCTGCATTTCTGCTTCACTGAATCTGTGGAAAACATGAGAAGTATGTGGAATTTCCAATACCATGAAGCTCAAGTTTGTCATCTTTTGGGAAGGCAGCTGAGCCCTGTGTGGTTAAGGACAAGGTGAGATGTGTTTTGAGGTGGTGTCAGATGCTGCTGGATGTCAACAGTACATTGAGGAACTGTTTGCTTAAAAAATTCATTCTAGAATGATAAATATGGAGTTGTTTTTTACTTTGTGCTTCTAAAGTATCGCCTCTAATTGAACTTCCAGTACCTTCTGGAACATCTGGATGAAGTGACTAGCAAAGGGGAAAGCTGTTAAATATGAATATGGAGCAGTATCTATTTGAACAGTGGTGATTTTTTTTTTCTTCCACCTGGCTAGTTTTCCAGCAGGTTAAGGCAGGCAGAGATTCATTGGCTGGTTTTGTTGTTTGGTTGTTTTAAAATGCTGATTTCTGAAATAAGATCCAGTCATGAAATAGATCCCCATTTTGATGAAGCAATTGCTTCACCTGCTGGGAGGTTTTTACCACAATTTATCATTTCAGTGTGAAGGCAAATCAGCTGTGTCCTTGCCTGACTGCTCCTCTTCACCGCTGGCTTTGGAGCAATCCTTCTTGCAAACAACTGTTCCAGATTACAAATCTTCCTCATGGTTTTGAAAGCTTATTTTCTTTCTTGCTGAGACTGTTCCAATGCATTTAAAGCATTAGAATAGAAGTAGTCACATTTGCAGCTTTTTATCTATGTATGGCATACTGGATTAAATGAATAGTTATTTAAGCATTGCTTGTAAGACCTGAAAAGTCCAGGCTGGGGCTTGGTGTAAAATGACCTTATTTGGAGTAACAGAAAATTCACTCCCCAGGTGGATATAGTTGACTTCCTGAATTTGGGTCACAGCAGTAGTTTGAGAACTGGTGAGGGTTGATGTTGTGGCTGTGCACACTGTGCTTGGGACACGCACAGCCCTGGGAGGCTGGCAGTCTGCAGCTGTGTGCCAGGAACAGGAGGCTTGCTGCAGATTAAATTCAATTCTCAACAGTGTGCCTTCAGGGGCTTGGGTTGGAGGATAAAAGGGGGGTTTAATTTGCCTTAAACACAGGCAAAAAATGTACGGACTAGAAGGATTCTCTGAGTTTTGACTGTTTTGATACTTTGTTTCTCTGCTGTTTCTGAAGCAGCCAAAGTAGGAAAGAGTTGTTTGGTTAAAAGTTTACCCTGGAAGAATTCTTGTAACAGTTATGCTTAAACTTGTTGCACATAATAATGCAACGCTGGGGAAGAGTCTCTAAGCAGTTTTCTGCTCTGGGAAATCCAGAGTGAGGAGAAGGAGGCGGTAGAGATGCTCCATTGCAGAACAGACGCAGGCTGAAGGCAGTTCACCCCAAACAGCTCTAATGCCAATAACCTCCCAGTCTAGCCAGCATCATGTGCTGTGTTGCTATTAATAGTCTGCCTGTTCTTGAGCATAAAATTCACTTTACTGGGCCTGCACAAGATCCAGAGTGCTTGAATGCAATAGTAATTTGGACTGTAAGGACTAGCACAAGGCCATTGCCTTTAGGAGTGTTTTTACCCATGAACAGTTTCAACTACTTCTTTTCACACATAATTTCGTAATTAGGTCCCCTATGAATAATTTACCAATTATTTTTCTGCTTATAGTTACTGGACACATGATTGCAGAATTAAAGCATATGCTGCTTTGCACTTTAGTCTGCCTTACTTGCTTTGTAGTGTTAAGCAATTTATCTGCAATTTCATTTTGAATTAGTACAATGTTTCTGACAAATGCCCTACGGAGTCAGCTAAGTGTGAAATGGGAATTTACACACCTATTTAATATTTAACCAATCAGTGGTAGCTTAAAAATACATCTCCCTTGTAATATGTTCTTACAGACTATAGTAAAATGTAACTGGCACAAGTACAAAAGGTGTGTCAGAAACACGACTGGTTTACATGATTTTAAATCAAAAGAGCAATGTGAAGCTAAATTATCAGGTCTTTTTTGTCGATCTTCTCAGATGTTTTCAAGATTTTTGTCTACTTCGAGTTAGGTGAGCACAGATCCAATTCCAAAAAAATCCCATTTTGTTCCATTTTGTCTTCAACTTGTTATGACAAAGCTTGCAAAAACAGTGTAGAAGGTGTTCTTTATTGTTGGCCTAAGTGCACTTAGAATTAAAAGCCCCACTGTAAACATTTTCAGCAAAGCAACTGCCCTTCCAAAGAAAGGGTTTGAACCTGAAAAGAGGCTGCAGATGAGTAACAAAGCAGGTGGTGAGTATGTCAGGAAAAGCTCCTAAATGAGACCTCTATGTGGAATTACCCAAATCCACATGAAACAGGGACATGGCCAAAGGAAGCGGGGTATTAGTCCACTACTGACATAGCAGAAGCCACCAGCGTGTTATGACTGTAGCTCTGGCCTTCCTGGCAGTCCAGTTTGCGTGCCTGAAAGAATAGGTAGGGTGTGGTGCTCCTCCCTCCCTGCTGCTTTCCTCTCCCAGCAGGGAGCTCCCAAGCTGCTCAGCTCCCTGGTGAGTCAGGCTGCTGGTTTTCCCATATCCTGGCTGGAGGAAGGGAATTAGAGTGTCTCCTGTCCTTCTGGGGTAGGGATTAGTGCTGCTCACAAGCCTGTGTGCCATGCCAGGTCTGAAACATTCAGCTGGGATTGCGAAAGAGTGACCTGGGAGGTGTGACCTGTCCCAGTGGGCCACCAGGACCAAAAGGGAATTGCTCCCTGGGACAGGTGGGAACTAGGATATGTCCCAGGGAGGCTCCTGATCCTTTTTCAGTTGATGAAAGAGTAGGAGAGTTAGCTGACCAGCATGTAAGCATGACAGATCAGTGAGGTTTGGCTGGTTTTGACAGAAGGAGTCAAAGACAGTGTCTGTATTTACACTTGAACGGACTTACTCCCTGACTATTTTATTTTCCCCTGGATCAGTCTGGAATGTCTGTCTTTCCTACTCTTTGAATTTGTGTATCCAACTTTTAAATTGGCTGATTGGCCTGTTGTACTCATGAGGGCCTCAGAGGGAGTTTTCTTTGCATCTTGGATATGGATCTCAGTTTCCTTAAATTCTTTTCCTGGGGGCACTTCTCTTAGTCAACACAAAGTGAAATGAAAAGTGATGGAAAAAACATTTTATTCCATTCTAGTAAAATTTAACTTATTTAAGTGGTAAAAGGAGCATTTGTGGCACTTCTGCACGGGATGAATTCTCCATTTGCAATCTGTTTTCAGTAGTTTCACCATGATTCAAATATGCATTTAATAGTCCTGGTTTTATATCTAAATGATGGAGGTATAAATGTGCTCTGATTTTTTCAGAGGATTATTAGTGCTTTGGCTTATAAACATTTTAACAATCACTGCTTTAAAATATAAAAAGCCTCTCTTGAGCTAGGATTCCATAAGGATCCTGAGGGTGATGGGGTTTTTTGTGTATTTAGAATAAAAGAGGGGGTGAAAAAAAAATTTAATAGCTTCAGGTTTGGAAAACTGTCCTAACACTTCTTATATTCAACACTCATAAGTTTACCATGCTACTATTTCTTTTCAATTTATATTAGAAACTGCTTTGTTTCTTCAAATACTCGGATTGGAGCTTAATCTAATTTAACTGCTCGTAGAAATTAATTATGAATATAAATATAGCTTTTTAAGATTTGTTATCTCAGCTAATTTTATTTTCTTCTGTAATCTGCTTTTAAATGGATTTGCAACTTTTTGTTGCTTATGAAAGCCCAAGTAATAGGTTTTTTGCAGTTTGGTTCAGTGCTGCAGTGGTAAAAGACTTTGATCTTCATTGTTTTATCATGTTTTTTAACAATTACATTTTCCCCTTCCCTCAGAAGTGGAATGTGCAAGTTTCCTTACCTTGTGAAATCCAGCTATAGGGCTTCAAGACTTTGGTATGTTTGCACATCTGTGCCTATAAGGATAAATATTGATAATATGCCATATAAATGCACATGCTTTTCTTGCTGTAATTGCTATTTCTAACAGAGAATCCATTATCTTGCACAACATGTATCATTTCCTTGGTATTCCCAACTTGATTTAACCCTCCAAGCTCATCTTGTTACCTCGTGAACTCCAATGGGACAGTTTTATTGCATTAAGTAGTTTACACTGGATGTTACTACCTGTAGTAGATGCGAGGACATGAGTGGATGAAGCTCAACAGACTTTTCATCTTTCAGTCTTACACTTCCATTCCAACAAAAAGAACAGTGTTGCTCACTTTCAAATATACTAAAATATTAAGTAGTGTTTAAACTTAAGTATGTTTTTTTCATCCTGATGCAGGTCTCTCTAGCTTTTCATTCCCGTCTGGCTTGTTAGCCATGCCTCAGACATACCTGGCATCTACTGATTTTTTTCCTTTGTTCTTGTCCCTCTTTAAGAGTTCCAGAGAGGGGGGCTGATGCAAATTGCAGTTCAGGCATCACTGTTGTGAGCCAGAAGCTGTATTCATTAGCAAAAAACTGACATGTTCCCCGCTGCCCCTGGCACTCAATGAATGGTGCTGATCTGAAGTCTTCCAGGCAGCTTCCAGGTGACATAAGGGACTGCCCACCACCCTGATCACCAGATCCAGTGTGCTGGAAAGAACAATGAAAGAACTTGGTAACTGTGCATGAAAAACAGGTAAACTATGTTCATCTCTTTTTCTGACTTTTATTTGCTTTTAACTGTAATCTTTTTGGTGATCTTTAAGTTGAGGTAAGGTTCCTTTGCTGGGGAAAATCCTAACTAGCTCTGTGATGAGTTAATCTCAAAAGTCTAGAGCCAGCTCACTTACTTTTCTGGTATTTATCAAACTGAAGAAAAGAGTAATCCAGGTGGATTCTAAACAATGCAAATGTAACTGAAGGACAGCACTAACAAAGAGCTCCAATTCTGAAAACTGTGGTTTTGTACATGAAAATCCCATTGTTTATTAAGGACAAGCAAGCAAAATGTTTTTAATTGTAAGAGCTTTGTAATTGTGCAGCTTAAGGCTATGACTTCTGTATATACAGCTACTGTCAGGTCCTGCTCTTTGAAACTGACCCTTGATTCCTTTCTTTTTGTGAATTTTCCTTTCTAATGTTTGCTAGATGTTGGGTAGTTTACTTTTCAGAGCTGAAAGTCCCTGAACCTTCAGAACATACAAGCTGCATGAAATAAACATATATGTGATCATGTGTGCAGACTCTTACCATCAAAAAGGAATATCCTATCCAAAGGCTTCTCCAGTTGGCTGGGCAGGGAGGAATTGACTGATCCTGGCTATGAACTGCCACAGCTTGGGCTGGGGCCTCACACACAGCACATCTGCTGATGTAGGGCTGGATTTCCTCTTCAGAGAGTGGCACCATTGGCAGAGGAGCAGCACTGGACAACCAGTAAGACTTGTCATTCCGACTGGCGTAATAACAAACTTGGTTGATGTTACAGTAAGCAAAGGGCATGGTATTAAACATAGGAAGACAGGATCCTGCCAGACCTGAAAACAGCAGCAGATTATGAAAATTACTCCACTTCTTTCCAGGTAAGTTGAAAACAGTATTCTGGCCAATGTTGCTGCAGAACTATGTATCTTACCAGGAGTTATGTAATTGACATCTTAAGTCTCCCAGGCTCTTTACCAAAAAGGCTGGTTAAATTGAAAACAAGCTTTTTTAACAAGTGTCTTCCTTTGGCCAATAATGTTTAATTATGTCACAATCCAGTATTTAAGCAGGATGTAGTTTGTCACCATGGGAAACAGTTGCTATAACAAATTTCTTAACTTTGCTGATGCTGAGAAATAAATTGGACACAAGGTGGTGGCTGGTTTAAAAAATGAGCTATTTACAAACTACTTAGGAGCAGCAAGAAAATAAAAGCCAGTGCTGATAAATAGAAACTTTTTGTCAAGTATGACAAGCCCTTGCTACCAGGGCACTAACCTGAGATCTCGGCAGCTGTTCTACTGCCTTCCAGAAAGTATTCACAGAGTCTCAGTGTGAAATAAAAGGACTGGAGGATTTTGCAGAGCCTCCAAAATTCTCCTCGGGCAGACATCGATGAGAATTTAGAAATGACTGGAGCATTCTTCAGTGTACTTCAGAGATGAAGTTCTTCTCCCAGAACTGAATTTTGAACAGCTTCATGATGGCCTATTTAGTTAATAACTGCATGTGTGTTCTGCCTTGAACTTTGTGCATGATGTATTATTTCTGTAATGCCCCAAAAGCCAAATGCCTTATTTAAAGGCACATGACATTTCTATACTGAAGCCAGTTTTGTTTATCACTGATGTTTTGTTCCAAAAATAGTAAAGGATCTGAAGTAGTCTGAGTAAGGAAAATGCCTGCTGCAAAGAAAAATCTGGTCACAGGAAATAAGGACTTTTTCTTTGGATCTTATTTTCTTGCTGTTACAAGGCATTCTGTTACCAACTGGCTCTCCAGGGGAATGTCCAATAGTGAAAATATTTCAAAACAACACTGCTGTACTAAAAATCTCTCTTCATTACTCCTTTAAATACTTTTTTTTCGTCAAACTTATTAGGTCCTTGATCTTTCCTCCTCAGAGAATTCTCTGCCTCTTGTATAATAAGACAACAAGAATTCAGGAAATTTCTTCTGTGTAAATTGCAGCCAATCAGTTTCTTAGCCTGCAAGTCAGGCAGCTTAATTAGACAGCTAATTTTAGTCAGAATTGTAGAAGACTTAGAAGAAATTACCCAAGACATGAAAAGGGGTGTATTTGAGAATAACTTGGCTCTGCCTTTTAAAAAAATAATAGCTTCTGCCTCAAAAGCACACAATTCTGTTGTACATATGATGCATAAATTACGTTATAAAGCTTATTCATACTATCCAACTGCCACCATCTAACTTAACCAGCTCTTTTTCCCAAGCTGCCTCTACAATAAAACAGAGTGGATCCTCCAGGGAATTAGAGAGTGGCCAAGTGAGATTCCTGATCTAGGAATAACTCTCCAGTGAGCTCAAAGACAGCCAAGAATTATTAGCCAGGATGAGTGAAATAAACAACCCATCTCTCCAACTTCTATTCAGAATTACTTAGAGGCAGAAATACTTTTCTCATTCAATTACATGCCAGCAGCAAGCTCCTTCAAATGGGTCATGTCAAACAGGGAAGTATAACCAAGTTCATTATAATAAGTAATTTGTTGAAAAAAGTAACTGGTGATTCTATAGTCTGCTCCATTACACTTTGTGTAGATGACACCACATTAGACCTTAATTAGAGAGCAATTACATACTATAATACATACCAAGATCTTGATTATGAGCTTTCTCTTGTCCTTCCAGGTACAGCAGACTGTAGCCAGTCCATAATTTGGGCATTCCCTGTGGACAGAGTGGTTCTCTGTCTGACTGACTGTGAAGGACAAGCAAGAATCCACTTGCAGATCTAATATAGGGACCTGGTGGTCCTGGAATGCCAGTCTGGCCAGGTGGACCTTATGCATAGGAGAAAAGGTAAAAGAAATTTACTTGTGTGAACACATGGCTAGTGTGAACATTTAAGTGTTCAGTAAGGGGTTTGTGGCTGAGTATAATACAACTTTGCAGGTTGACATGGGCAATAGAGAGACCAGTAGACTCATGTTATCTTTTTTATGAGATAAAAATAAACTAGATTGTCACAGCGTGCTTGACAGTTGGCTTTTCTATTGTGCCTCTGTCCTGTGCAGTATGGATTAAGAAAGGAACTGAGGTGGGAAATGATCTCCCAGACTCTGAACTGAATTTGAATCCCTGCAGTAAGTCAATGCCCTTTCTTCACATACGTATTAAACCATTAATTTCTTAAAAAGCAGTCACAGTTAAAATACAATTTTAATTACTCACAGACAATCACACCATTAGCCCTGACTCAGAAATGCATACCTGTTGATATATGGTGTTAAAGCATGTGTGGTTAATTGCTTTTCTGGTTAATAATGGATGCTGAGATAAATTTTCTTTCAATAGGTGGTCTTATGTGTTGTAAAATCATTCACAAATGTCACTATCAGTGCTTGAACTGAGAGAGGCAAAAGAAGTTTCATGTATCTCACATTAGAGGTGGATGTAGCCATGTGTGAGTTGGGCAGCAGAGAGAAGACTTAGGCCATGCATCATCTCACATCTCCAAAAAGCCATGTTCCATTCTTACCTTGTGGCCCAGTGAATCCTTGCTCTCCCATATTCCCCTGGTCACCTGGTGGTCCAGGTGCCCCAGGTAAGCCATCTTGACCTGGCAGGCCATATGACCCTTCTTCACCTTTTCTTCCTAGGTAAACAAAAAGTGTGCACTTTCCCTTCATATGGCTGCCTTTAAAGGTTACGCGTTGTCCGAGGTTACACAGCCTGTGTAGGGCCAGTCAGCACAACTGACATCACCAAGAAATGCTCCTCCAGGACAGAGGTGCAGAACTGCCTTATGCTGAGACTTCTCTTAACAAATTCTTGTCTTTCTGCCCACAGCAGTAGCTCAGAGGCATGACTTTAGTAACAGCAGCTGCTGGTAAGGTTTTATGTTCTCTCTACAGAATTGTTATGATTTACATTTGAAATCAAACCACTAACAAACATTATTATGACAAGCCTCTTGCAGAATTCCCATCAGTATCTGTTCCACATTATGAGTTATAGCTCGTCCTGTATCAGGCCCTCATCTTTCAGGAGCCAATTCAGCAAAGTCTTTAAACATGTACTGAACTTCCTGTGAAGTAATGCAGGTATTAGAGTATTTACAGTGAGGATTTTAGGCTCCCACTGGCCTTATCTTTTCCTGTTTTCATATGTATGTGCATTTGTCTACATTAGCAGATGATGTCAGTAAAAGAGAGGTCTCATGTACACAGCACAGATAGTGATGGCCCTGTTCACTGGAAACTCCAAACATACCCTGAGTTGAATGAAGTTACCCTTGCCAGGTGTTACTGCCCTCAGCAGTTTCTTTTAGTAATGAATGGTTTTCAGATTATTGTTTCTCTAGTACCAGAGTTGCTTCTCATTAATGGTGTGTTTTATTCCTGGCACATTTTGCTACTTAACCTGCAGACTGAGTAATTCAAGGTTGTCTCACAACATTCAAATTTTCCCCATGCTACTTTTTACTAGATTCATTAAGAAAATCTAAACCAGTCAAAGCCATTTAACAGCTTTTCAATGCTAGCTGCATAGTATTTTGCCAAAGCTCAAATACACCAAAGTTTTAGTAATATGCATCACTTTTGCCAGTAAAGCCTTCAGTTTGCCTTCCAAGCCAAGAAAAAATTGGAATTCTGTTATGTTAATGAAAGGTGAAGCATTACTAAGTGCTTCTTTCTTAAAACCAGTGCAAGTGTGTATCCCAGCATTGCTTGGCTTTACAGAAACTGTTTTAATGTTTCATATAATGGGAACACTGTCATTCAATCCCAGAAACACCTTTTAGTTGGCAAATCAGTTGAGATATGTAAAACTGGATCATTCACTGAAAATTGCCTTGTGTTCACTTTCATGGGGGGAGTAATAAAGGTCTAAAACTACATAAGCTGAAGGCACCACATCTAGTCACAACCTAAACTGAAGCTACTGCACAGACATGCTACACTGTATTTCTCTGAAGATGGCCACTCTGTTGGAATCATCAGTACCTCCATGATCTTGTTTTCTTTTTATCTGTCAGAATGTTTCAGTCTTTCATAATTTCTTTTTAAGATCTCTTTGTCCAGTTTTATTTTGTGATAACTTTTTCATGTTCTAATAGCTAGATAAAAAAGGCTGTTGTAGCCACCTCTCTGATTTCAGTGTCCTTTTAGGACTCTGCTTAGCAAAGCCTTGTGATTCATTATTGCTGAATTTTAAAGCATGTGTATTTTTAACATCACCCAAACATAACCTGTCTAAACTGTAGGAGTGGTTTGAGGCCTTTGCTTTTTCATTTGTTGGTAAAAAGGAGAAGTACTGTTTGAAGAATTCTTTTCTCAAAAGTGCATGATGCTTTTGCCCTCCCTGGCCTAGGAAGAGGGAATGCAATGTAGGCAAGCTCATCTAGCCTGGTTCAGCTATATTGATCCATCAGCCTTGGCACTAACCAGCCCACTACATGGTTCTGGAGACGGTTAATAAGGGCAAGAGACAGGGTAAAACATAGACAAGTAACACTGATACTGATCCTTTTCAATTTGTTCTCTAAATGGCTAAAATACACATCCAAGCTTTAAAAACACAAGCTTACCTGGAGGTCCAGGGTGGCCTATAGGCCCTGGTAATCCTACAGAGCCATCATGTCCTCTTTGCCCTGCTTCCCCAGGAGGCCCTGGGATTACAGGGCAGGAATCGTCTATTTTTCCTGGTTCACCAGGGTCACCTACGGTGTGTAATAGGAAACTAAATTAGACAGAAGATTGGTTAATAGCTCCCATGTGAAAAATCAACATGACTGTTTGCTGGTTTGGGTATTCAAGTGTATACTTTAAGTATTTTAAAATCTTGAATTATTGAATCTCACTGCTTTAAATTTTACTCTTAAGTCTTTTAGAACAACATTTAATAGCATGGGGTGAGCATGTGTTAGCAAGTGCATAGCTGATGTGTTTCAAATATTTGCTGTACAGTTTCTATCTTCATGTGCCACAAACTGATTCGAGTTCAAGCCTAAAGTCTACCCAACTTCAGCACAAACACCTTAGCAGATGTGAAGATTTACAGTACTTATACAACCACAGAATAGGTGAAGTATCAATAGGCAGGCCGAAGTAGCTAAGCCACAATAGCAATTTAAGATAATTACTAAAATAAAAATAGAGAATGGCCATATTTTGTGTATAAAAAAATTACTGGGACCTACTGGCTATTTTGGAACAAAATCAGGGTCAGATCAATTTAGTTAGATTTAAGATTTCAGCATTTGTACTAATCCAGTGTTGGGATCCAAGCTTTTGTGAAGTTTTTGGCTAGAAAGTGTCCTGTGTAACAACCAAAAAGAAAGTGGTAATTTGAAACAAAAATATTTTACAGGTCTAACTGGTATCATACCATGAGACATCTCAATATAGCATTATCATGATATTGGTTTGCTTGGAGGTACTAGCTATTCACTTGAAAAATCTACGAGAAATATGCTGTAGTAGCAGTATCTATTCTAGCAGGCAATCCAAGAACATATTCTAATAAGAGAGGATTGCATCTGTACAGAAGGAAGCCCATGTGAAAAGAACAATCATCAACAGTCATGAACTTACCTATGAAACCTGAAGGTTTTTAAAAATGAGAAGGAGGTTGTGGCCATTGTGGTGCAGGTGGAAATGAGTTTCAGGCATGTAAATTAAAGCAAGAAATCAGAACTGAAATCACTTACATGAGGTGACATTAGAAACAAATACATATAGGAAATTTTTACACAACTCAAATGAGAAATCAAGTTTTTTCTGAGATGGTTTAAATTATCAAATTAAATTATTAAGCTTTAATAAGATTATTTGTGAATAGAATGATCATGGTTACAGTTGAGTGGCAATGAGCAACAGGTTCATAAGTACCTGTGGGACCTCTGGGACCAGGTTTTCCTCGAAAACCTTGGTCTCCTGGTTGTCCTATAACACCAGGTGGACCCTGTGGGCCATGGATTCCCATAGGACCTAGAAAGAAAACAGTTGTGCTGTTACATGTAGTTCTAGTTTAAGAAGATGAACACATAAATAAGATGAAGTCTTGGCTGCTTGAGTAACAAAAAATGTGTGGGATAGCTCAGCTCCTAGAAAGAAATGCACATTTCCCTCATCTCTCCTTGGTCTTGAACCAGATTAGAAGTCATTACTTTTTTGAAGGGGTTGGTCTAGGTAAGACTTCTCTACAGTGTGTGGGAAAAGCAAAGTATGTAGATTCCTGTTTTCGTACTAAAGAATCTGTTAAAAGCCCAGATGGGGTAGATGTGAGACTGAGTTGGTTCAAACACAACTGCATCTTCCATAGTTTTTCAAGACCCTTGCAGAGATGTCAAGGTTTGCTTTATCTGACAGTGTAAAAAGTGTTACTGTCTCATTCTCAGGTTGCCGGGAGTTTTCCAAGAAGTTTCTGTAAGCAGTACATGAGGATGTGGCTCTATTCTGACCCTCTACCCCAGCCCTATCTTATCTCTAGGTAGTAAGGCAGAGCTACAAAATGTCCAGCCTGTCATCTTCTTTCTGACTCAGTCTCCATGTCTCCCCTGAGCACAAAGCTCAGTTGCACAGGGCTGGTTAAATGCACATGCTACTTAAAGCCATCTCAGATCATACCCTTTGGGCCCCTTCTTCCTTGGTTCCCTGGAGGTCCTCTGGCTCCTTGTTGCCCTCGCTGCCCAGGGTTGCCTGGTGCCCCTTGAATACCGGGATCACCTGGATCTCCTCGTACAAAGATAGTCTCTCCAGGAGGACCAGGATTCCCAGGGTGACCTATGGTAAAAGAACTTTATTCTTAATATATGCACGAAGTGTAAACCTCTAAAAATAGCCATGTTCAGTTAGCTCTGGAGCTTTTGGTTTTTTTTCCCTGGGATGTAGAACAGCCCTTCCATGTCTTTGGAAATATTAGCATTAGATGTTGTCCAAGGCATTGTAAGGAAGGCAGTGATAGAACTGTGTAGATTTCTGCATGCAAGCAAAAGGTGACAAGTTAATGTTACATGCCTTGAGATACTGTTCCTCTATATTTATTACAGTGTTGCTTACCCTTTCAGTGTCCATTCCTTATTTCCCAATAGGAATTAAGCCTTCATACTGGGTAAGGAAGGGTTCAGATAATGCTTAACAGGTCAGAACTGCTTGAAAGAGTTCCATTTGAGGACCAAAATTTTAGAATTGTCTGGATCCCTTGGCAATCCCTGAAGCAAGGTCTACATAAATGCTTACAAAAGAGTTGCCAGCTCTAGCTTTCCTATGGATTTAGATTGGAAAGCTTTCTGTGGGTTTACAAACTAGGCAGGACCTTGGATAATGTGTTTTATCCTTCTTGCTTGGAATAGAGGCCACTAATCTTTTCTGTTTACTTCTGCAGAAACTGAGATCTGTCCTAGCAGTAGAACTTTTACTGTGTTACAAAACAGGCCAGCAAAGGGCTGTGGTGATGTCTCCAGTGTTCAGTTCTGTATATCCACTGAGGTACTGATTGGTTTCTTGTTCTCTCTGCACTTTTATACCTTGCTCCACAGACAACAACCCAGTCACTCTTGGTAGCCTCAGGGACTTTTTACATTATCAAATTTGGTATTTTGGGTTTTAATACCTCTGATGCCATCTAAACCAGGTGGTCCTTGATCACCTGGAGGACCAGGATAAGCACTATCAGGAGATATTCCCATGGGTCCAATGGGTCCAACAGGTCCTCTTCGACCTAAGGGATCACATTTAAAAAAATCTGAGGATTTTTTTAGATTACAGAAATAAGTAACTAACTATAAGAAGTAGAGAAGTCATGAAGGTCATGTATGCTTTCAGTTGTATACTGAACATACCAGTGATTAGGCCGATGAAGACTAAATTATTACACTATAAAAATGTAATATTTGTTATCTTTTTAAAATGTAAATTATTTCCATAAAACCTACTTAAACTAAAGAATGCATCGTCACACATTGGCATGTGGCCACAAACAGCTGCCTTCTCCAGGATTCTAACAAAGGGAGAAATGGTAAAAATGTTAAATGAGTCAGGACTACGGAATCATTCTGCCTGGGATTAAGTATTCACAGATTGTTCCTAGCAAAAGTGACTTCAGCTGTTTCCTAAAAACCTCAGTGAACAAGATGAATTTACTAGCCTTAAATATATTGATTTCTGAATTTGTAATTTTATTTTTATTTTTCAAAATGAAACATTGGTGCTCTTATATGTGACAGGCAGGAAGAGTTACAGGTTATTGACCTCAATGTAACATTTTTCAGTATTGGCAGCTTGTTAGCACGTGTCGCACTCTGTTGTTTTCTGTTTCCTATAAAAAAAAAAATCTAGTTTCTTCAGTCTTGTTTCCAAACCCATCCGTCCATTTTCTCTGTAGTGAGCTCTCCCTAATTTGTCAAAGCTGGACACATTATGCTGCAGGAGGCCTTGCTCATCCGAAGTCAAGCAGTGTTAATACATCACAAGAAAACCAAAACTTCCTTGTGTTTAAGTAGAATTTCCTGTATGTCAGTTTGTCCCCATTGCCTCTTGTCCTGTCATTGAAGACCACTGTGAAGAATCTGTCTCCACGTCCTTCCCATCAGGTACTTGTACACATAGACAAAATCTCACCTGAGCCTTCTCTTCTGGAGGCTACACAGTTCCCACTCCCTCAGCGGCTACTCAAAGACAGATGCTCTGGTCTCTTTACCTTCCTAGTGACCCTTCCTCAAACACTTGCTTTTTCCTATTTCTATGTAATTCCTGTATCACCAAGGCTCTTAAATAATCATACCACTCTTGTGATACAGTTCCTTCTTGCATTTACCTCAGAGTTAATAGATTCAGTCTGTTTCTGTGACTGCCGACTCTCCTGCACTCTTTTTCTTCAGGAATTTCTTCCCAAGGAGCAAGACAACCTAACAGTTCCCTGAGTGTGTCCAAGTCATTTCCTATTCTCATTCTTCCTTCTCCTGTAATATACTGGGGTCTCTGCGTCTACTCAGGAATCATCAGAATGCTATTGCAACAGGAGTATTTTTATGGAGGGAATCTTCTTAGTATGTCGCAATGTCCACACTAATTCATTTCAACTCTGCAGGAGGCACCACTAAGAAGAAAATCCTTTCTTACCTGGGAATCCTGGGAACCCCCTTTCTCCAGGGGGGCCTGGAATACAAATACCAGGCCATCCAGGTTCACCTCTGTCTCCTTTTGGTCCAAGTTCTCCTGGGTATCCTGGGGGCCCTGTTTCACTTTGACCTTTATAGGAAAACAATTATGTACATAAAACTTACAGTGAGTACAAATACAGATGTGCAGAATAGAAATACCAGCTGCAGATGTTCCCCTTGCAAGGGTTGCCTAGTGCTGTTTTTCTAGTTCTCTCTTGGAAGCTGGATAGAGTTTTGTTGAATCTGGCCCTTAATTCATCTCTTTCAAGGGAATTAATCTCTTTGCTTTACTGCTCTTCTTCAGGGGTTATTTTACATGGTGTCATTACTGTCTGTAACTTGAAATACAAACTGTTTGCATGGTCCTAAACTTAATTTTCTATCAGCATAAATTTGTTATCTCTAGCTAGATGGTGAGCACTGTTTTTTAATCCTGCTTCAAAAGCACCTTTCGAAAGTTGCAAAAAGATCAGCATGAGTGAAATCCAGGTTCCTCTTAAATTCATGGCACAACTCCCATGGACTTTAACAAGGCTGGGTTTTCATAGATCTCCTTTTAATTTGTTAGTTTATCTTTTACACATAAAAAAACATGGAGACTTGGCACTACTTTGACTCATCTGCACTGAATATTTTCATTTTATAAACAGGAACTTTTAAAGGTTCCAACACCTCTATGCAAGTAATGGAATCTTTAATGTTTTCTCCACAAATAACTGCAGGTGTGTCAGTAGGCATACTTCAAGTTCTGTTTGAAAGTTTAGTCTCAGCCTTAATGACACCTTCTGGGCAAGGCAAATATCAAAATAAGGTGCATCATTCCCTGTACATTTAGTCATTGAAGAGAAGATTTTCTGTTCCACACAGTTTTTCCCCTTGTTACCTGGAGCTCCTGCAGAACCTTTTTGACCTTTTAGTCCATCCAAGCCATCCAGTCCAGGCAGTCCAGGAAGACCTGAGAGGTATTACAGGCATGACTAGGTGTCACAATAATCCTTTACAATCAGAATTAATAATTATGCCATTTTTTTCTTTCTGACAACACTTTCTGGATCAAGGTGGTAATTGTTGAATGTGATTCTTATTGGCTACTAAAGATGAGATCACATTGCACGTGAGTGCAGTGTTTTTGGAAAGGAAAACGTGAAAAATCTGAAAATAGCATTCATCAAAGCTAAGCTTCCCATCAAAGCAATGAGAAAACATACCTTTTAACCCTTTACGTATTTCCATACTGCAGCTGGCAGCAGGAAGCTCAAGGTGGTGAATCTCATGTCTGTGGATAGACTGCTACATGTGATTAGCTGGTACAAAGTTAGCTGTGTTATCCCTGTGACCAGGTGACAGGGATGCAGATTCTACCTCAATTAACTGTCAAGCTGGGACTTCTTTACAGTTTCTGTTCCAAGTGTACATGCAATTCAATCTACGGGCACTAGAAAGAAGCTAAAGTTGCACCTGGCTGTTTTTCCCTGGTCCTGCAGATTTCACACAAAAACTGCTTTTTTGAAACACACTATGACAAAAATTTCTTGAACAGCACCAAGTCTTTGAAGACAAAAAATCTAATTGAGACCTATGCTGAAATGTGATAGTACACAGCAGCTCTGTCACTAGTTGTATTTGCTGGATGACTAGATTACAGGCTGAGTGTTCATGATAGTAAAAAGTGACTTTTGCTTTATAATCTGTGCATTTTTTAAAACTTCTGAAACAAACAGTAAAAACAGGTGGCATTTTCTTAACCCATTTTTAGGAAGTTGAACTAATCTGAGATTGCAGCAGAGGGTAAAAATCTGTCTTTAGCACTTTTTGGTTTCTTAAATTGTATAGATGAACTATCAAGTGTGAAGACTATACTTACTAAAGGCAGACAGAGCCTATCACCTGGTGACAGGAACAGATTAGGTAAAACTGATGGGTCACTGGGTAACAGGTTTCAAGGAGGTTTCAGGCAGAGGAATAGATTGTGATGCTTCTTGCTCCAGAGAGGGACAGATTAGAGTAGATGCTGGTCATCAAGGAATTGAACAACACTTGGTGCCTATTCCTGCCTCTATTCCCCCTTTGCTGCTTATCTGCCTGATTTCCTTCCCTACCAGTTTCTCTTCCTGCTGTGTCTTCCCAGTCTAGTTGCAGATTTTTCAACAAGTTTGAATTATGTTTGTGCTGTCTCCTTTTCCCTGTCTAGCTACTTCCTGGCACAGAAGATATAGGTTCTCAGTTTCAGTTCCTGTGCTTTATCCCAGCATGTTCTGCAGGACACAAGCCTGCTGCATATCCAGTGTATGTATCATGGGAGAATTTGTTGCTTTACTTATGCACAGAGGAATGGATATATATTTTTTAAAATTTTGTAAGGTGGTCAAATTTGGCAGGGACAAATTGCTGTAGGAGCAGCAACACAAATGTCCTTCATCGACTGCTTCACTTGTCAAATTTGAAGGTCCTAGTGCAAATACATTGATAACATAGTCTGTATGTAATCCTCTTTATAATACAGGGTACTGGTAATCTGACCTGTAATATCTTCTATGCCCTTAATTAACTGCTCTTTAACCTTTTATGACACTGTAAGTCTCAGTCCTACTTTCAGTAGCCTGCCTGTGCTTTGGACATGTTACCATTTTCAAATTTATGTAAGAGTTGCATGCCAATCTGGGGAACTGACCAGTGGCATTTAAAAATGATTATGAACTCCTAATGATTTTTGGGACTCAGGTCACCATTTAAAACTCTTGATCTTTAGCTCATTCAGTCCAGATTGATGGCTTGGTCTGCTTGCTTTCCAGGGAATTCCTGATGCATTTGCCAACAATCCATTATAACATCAGCACTTGTAATTCTAGACTTTTGGATTGCTATAGTCCCATATTTCTAGGTACAGCTGAATTGGCTGACCTGTGTATGAACCACTGTTTCTGTATTTTACAACCCAATTCAGCTTCTACTTGCACAAGTAACTCTGCTAATGTTCTTAATATTAACTGATTCATCAAGGATTACATACACAAGTGAGGCTTGCCAGACTAAGCTCTTAACTAGTAAAACTATCTCTGTAACAAAGAAAACGGGATTTTGCTTTGGTAGATGCCATTTAACTCTCTTAATCTAAAAGTTCTTCAGGCACAAGGCATTTAATGTAAATGAGGAGCAATTAGACTAAGAAGGCTGTACACTTAGCTATGAACAGCCAGTTAACCATTTCACTTCTGGTATTAGCAACAGCATTAATTGAAAATTACAACAATTAAATGTTCTTATGTAGATTATGCATCAGCAAGGAATCTGTCATGGCAGTTTAAATTGGCACCACTTACTTACTGGAAGCAATCATAAATTGTCTCCATTTTTTGTTTAAATTTTCAGTAGTTTATAAGAAACCTTCTAAATTTTTCCTTAGGCTGAATTTGAAAAAGTGAATCTATTGTCCTCTCTAACCATTTTTTATAGCCCCAAGTGTTACTTTACTATGATTTCTGTTTTATGCGTCACTAATACTATTATTTCTGTCCGGGAACTGGTTATGAAGCACACTATAACAGAGAGAGGATACAAAGTACATAGTTCATACCTTTCTTTGTGAAGTGTTAATATAACTTACAATTTCAGTATATAATTGAGTATAGTAAAAGTCAATCATGTTGTTCAACAAAACAAATGTATAGATGAACTGCTGTTCAATCTAAACACAACAATCATTTTGAGAAGCATAAATTAGGATTTGGAAGAAACATCTTTATATTAAATCCACCAAAAATCAATTTTTGAAAAAAAACCAAAAAAACCCACCAACAACAAAGCCCAACCCAAGTTCTCTTACCACAGGTTGTTAAATCAAATTTATAAGGAAAAAAGCTGTCAGTTGCAGTCAGATGGTTTTGTGGAGTAACAGTGGCACTCCATGGTGAAAAGGTAGAAGACAGCATAATTGAAGTGAAACATGAATTACTGCAAACTCCTTTTCTTTCTTAACTTCTGTCAGTTACATCAGCTGAACCAGAATCTACTTCTACCTTCCTTACTCATTTTAGATTATAGCCCAACTTTCTGACGTTGAAATTTTTTTACTTTCCAAAGGTGATGGGAACTAGCTTAATTAATCTAGTTGTTTAAGAGGATACAGAATTAAAATCATGTTCACAAGCCTTTTCTGTTTTCACTACTTAGAGGGTATTTATGTGTGGTGCCTTTACCTTACCAGTAGAACTGCACTGTGTGGTGTTTACCTTTTCTGCCTTGGGATCCAGCTAATCCTTGCAATCCTGGAGGTCCCAAAATTCCATGTTTCCCTTTTTCTCCAGGTTCTCCTGGCAATCCATGAGGACCTGTAGCTCCTGAAAGTGGGGAAAAAAAATAATCTGTGAAGATGCAAATCTATTAAACTGTTTTGTTGGGTTTTTTCCCTTCATGCTGTGTGACACACTGCATCAGAGGTACCTGCATGTGTCTGGGAATGTATGAAGAACTGATGGATCTTGCTCTCCAAGATTAAGCAGACTACTGCTGCTGTCTATAGGTACTGAAATAGCTTTCAGTACAAGCCTTCACATGATCTCAGATTTCTTTAGCCTCCTTCGCAGAGGTTTCTCCTCAGCTGCATTTTCCTGTTCCCTATCACTTATGAGCTGTTACATGGCACTCTTTTTTTTAAAATTTTGGCATTACCTGGAAGTCCAGGTATTCCTGGGTATCCAGGGTCACCCTTGGATCCTGGTCTTCCAGGTTGCCCTTGGATACCTGGTGAACCCTTCTCTCCTGGAAATCCACAAAGTCCTTAAAAAAAAAAATAAAAAAAATTCTAGCATTTATTTGTTTAAAGTTGCCCATTCTTCATCTCTTTGTAAGTTTAAAAATCTCAAAAGATCAGGAAAGGGTTTCTGGAGTAAAAGAAGGATTTTATTAATACACTTCTGATCCTTGTAGCTCTTTGTTAACAATGAATTATACTGATATCTCTGGTGATACCTGAGAGAGCAGAAACTGCTAGCAAGATAAGCCAAGCTAGGTTTTATTCTGGTAAGTATGTTCATCAGTGCTGCATTACACAACAGCAGACTCTACCTCCCACCTTCATGCCAGCCACATTGCACGTTGCAATGCCTCTCAGTCCTTGGGCTTGTAACTGTAGAGAGTATCACCTGTGCCAAATAGGCACAGGAAATGGAGCTCTGTCCACTAACAGAACTTAAGAGAAAAAACAAATTCTTAATTCCAGTTTTTTTCTTTAATCAGACAGAGGTACCTGGTGATCCTGGATCTCCGGGAGGCCCTTTTCGACCATGCCTTCCAAGCAGAGGAGTTGAGTCACCTCTCTTGCCTGTTGAGTTACAATGAATTTAATTTCATACAAGTATGCTTTTCATCCATAAAAAACAAAGGTGGACAATGTTGTAAGATCAGATAATTTACTCATAGATATTAACAGCTGTACAAGAGACTGAGAGAATGAAAAAAGCTTTGGCACATACAAATGATCTGCCAGCTCAGCCCATCTTGAAGTACTAACTCACTCAGTTTGTGTTTAGTGTGACTCCTGGCAGAATTCAAGTACATCTACCATAATGAAAAAAGCCCAACCCGCCCCCCAAATCATGGGAATTTTCCCACTACTGACAGCAAATACTGAAAATAAAAGATGATGTATAAATTCCCTAGAACACTTTATTAAACAAAAAGAACTCCTTAGGTTTGTGAGGCTGTACAAAATCAATACATCTTGAGTCTATTTACTTAAAGATCTTTCAGGGACTATCTGGGGATACTAAGCCAGCACACTTTCTTTCTGTCTGTGCTGAAATTCCTGTTTATCACAGAATCAATAATTGCAAGCCATTTCACCTTACTTTGTACAAATGTCTGACGTTTTCCTACCTATTCATGCTGTCTCCAGCTGTACTATCTGATTTTGCTGGGAAGAGTTAAAAGGAAATACAGAGATCAAGTGCTGCTAGAAATTCCCTGCCATAGCAATCCCCACCTTTACTGGCTGTTTTCTTCTTTAGTTTTAGGGATAAGTTTTCCAGTAAGTTTGTTTTCAAGAATTTTCTTTATATTGAGTATTGGTCTTTACTTTTATTGAGGGAATATAATCCCTGGCTGAGCAGCTTTTGAATTTTTGAAGGAATGGCAAATGTAACTGAGAAAATAATTTCTCCTTTCCCCTTAATGCTTTTTTTCCAGGCAGTGGTTTAATTTCCTTAGTTATTAGTAATGAAATTCTGCTTCAATTAAATTTAAAATATCATGGATGACACCATTTTGTATTTCTTTGAAACACTTTTTAAAACTTTAAATATTATAGATTTTTTTTCAGAGTAATTTCTACCTATGTAAAAAGCAGTGTGAAACTTCATTTTTTAACTGAAAAATTTTGCATATGTGGGCATGAACTCTGCCTGATTTGTTACATTACACTTTCAGAAGTTCCAAGAATTCAGAAATCGTAGTGTGGAAAACAATAGAAAATAAGTGATACAAAAGAAATTCTAAATTATGTTGGAATAATTTAGAAACTCTGTATGTGTAATACAATACCATAATACCATACATAAATAGCTGCATTTTCTTTCTCTTTGATGTGACAAATTTTACAGATCCATAAGAATGGATTTTTACATGTTTATTTTCTAAGTTAGTAAGTCCTGCTTTCTAAGGAATACATTGAAGTGCAAATTTTGCCTTCAGGTAAGTCAGATGACTTTCTAATGGCATTAATGTTTTAAATATTTGCACTTCTGACTTTTTCCTTTTCTAGTGAGTACTCGCCACTATCAGAGCATATACTTCCTAACAATATTATTCTTTTCAAAATCATGTTGATACAAACTCATTACCTTTAGATCCTTTTGGGCCAGTCAGTCCTGGATTTCCAGGGTTTCCTGGTGAGCCAATGTCCCCCTAATATTTTGAAAAACAAAAATAAAAATGTCTGTATGATCTGTAGCAGGACTGATGTATAAGAGCCTTTGGTTCCCTTACCACTGGTAAACAGACCAGCAATAAATATTGAATAGCAAAACTCTGTCTTAAGCTCAACTGAGCTTTGTTACTTGCCTAACGCTGACCATTAACACTTCCAAGAAACTGTAGATTAGACTTGCTTATAATTTTGAATTTTTGCTTATATAGTTGATGCTAACTCTTGGCTTGAACAGCTTAAACTTCCCACAGATGGCTTGAGTAATTTGATTTAAAAGGTACCATAAATATGTACCAAATATTGTTGTATGTTATCCAAAATTTGCTATAAACATTAACCAGAAATATTTTGAGGTAACAGTAGAAATGTGAATACTTCTTTATTTTCCCCTTTGAATAATGGTCTATAACCAGCAAAGCACAGATTATCTCTTCAAAGAAATATAAGAAAAGACAAGCCAAACAAAGATGTGTCCATTTACCCAAAAAAACAGTTGTGCTTTATGCTTTGTGTAATCTTACTGCCTGTCCACTTAGCATACAAGCCAGGGAAGAATTTTTACTATATATCCATATCACATATGTGCTGTTTTGTTTGTTGTTCTTGAGCAATATTCCTTGCCAGGGTTCTGTTTGGTACAAGTTGTCAGTATGGGCACAGAAAACTTGTCTCTTAGCTTGGCTGCTCCACGTAGCATGAAGCAGCAGCTAGATAATTCATTTCATACTTGTGCTGCTGCTCTGGTATGATCTCTGCAGGAAGTGAGTTGTCAATCTGTTCTTAAGGATCATGTTAAAGACTTGCTGGTGTGTTCAGTTGCCCACCCCCCCAATTAGTGCAGTGTGGCCTAGACTTCCACCAAGTGGCAAAGTAACAGAATTACAACGTGCAGCCAGGAGAGAGGCCCTTGGACTACAGTTCCTGCTAAAATGAAATGAAAGCATTGAAGTGTTGCTTTAAGGAATTTACCTTTTCTATTATACTGACAGTCTCTCCTCAGGAGGAACATCTAATGGATAGGTACAGTAGAAGTACCCTTCATCATATTTCTTGGAGAATGGAGATAATGGCAAAGTCCAGCACATTTAATTACCACTTTCAGTTTACCTGGTCACCTGGTTGTCCTTGAAAACCTGTAATTCCTCTAAAGCCCTTAGGTCCTGGGAAACCCTGTGGTCCTGGAAACCCCATCAGTCCAGTGTCACCATGGTCACCTTCCAGTCCTGGGACACCCCTCTTTCCTGGAAATCCTGGGGTGCCTCTGAAACCAGTATTGCCTTTTTCACCTGAAGTTAATTGCAGAACAAGATAATGACCAATGTAGTCAAGCCATTATCTGACACTTATTTTGAATATGGCTTTGTCTCCATGCTTTGTGTATTGCCTTAATAATTGTCCAAAGAAATCAGCCTGCTAGTGGAAGGATCTATAAACACAATAAGGCTGCTGGATGATACTGCAGCTGGGAGTGATGGATACCAGAAGAGTGTGTGGGTATGCAGGGCTTTATTTTATGAACTTACCTTTTTCACCTCTAATTCCATTCTCACCAGGAAACCCTGGATCCCCCTTTTGTCCTTTCTCAAGACGGATGCTAATGCAGCCACTGTCTCCTGGAGGCCCTTTTTCACCTTTGAACCAAACATATGAAATGTAAGTAAGTTCTCAATTGTTTCAGCAGACTCACTGCTAATAGAATTTATTATCCTTCTCTTGCCCTTAGCTAATTCAGTAGTAACCCAGGTGATGTTAAATCAGAATTATTCCCTGCTTGTCTGGAATATGAAAGATGTCCACTCCAGTGTATTGTCCATGATTGCACCTTGGGGATGGTTGTTCTCTTTCCTGTATTAATATTTAGAGAGATTTTTTTCATGTGTGTTTTTCATAGATTGTAGAACAGAGAAAATATGATAGAAAACTTGAAAAATTGAAAGTTTCAGATGTGTTCAGGACAAAATTCAAGGTTGGGTTGTTTAAGTGATCTTAATGTTTGATTTAGTGTAAATGCACCAATTGATCTGAGTGGAATTTATTTTTCTTTTTCATTATGCATTCATAACTGGGGTGTCTGTATTTAGTACCTCTGAAAACAATGAATATATTCCTATAACAAGAAGAAAAAGTAAATATATTAAAACAGTAGTAACAAAACCAAACATAGCAGTAACATAACTACAGAGTGAAGTAGATTTTTACAAACCTTTTATTCCCATATCCCCACATTCTCCACTAGGTCCAGGTGGACCCATTTTTCCTTCTTCACCTTTTACACCAGAGATTCCCATTGGGCCTTGTGTTCCTGGAAATCCTGGCAATCCCTGGGGTCCTTGAATCCCTTTGCCTCCTGGTAATATTAAATGTTTTATTTACACATTCAGTCTGCTATGCTGTTGCTGCCATACTCTAAGGAAGAGTATAAAGCAAAAGGCAGGAAGTTTAGAAGGACTCCTTAGGAAATCAGCAAAGCTAGAGAAGCCAGAATTGCAGCAGGGCTTCATAACAAGATCAAACTTGTCTTGAAATCCAGATTGCCTTGAAGCAAGCAAACATCTTCCCTCTCCCTGCTGCCACCCCCTGGAGATTTAGGCTGCATTAACTGGTAAAGCAGCTATCCCCAAGGCATCTTAAATACAATGTGTTACCTAAGACACTGCCTGTTTTTGCCTGTAGCTACTGGAAATCACAACTCCTGCTGTCCAGATGACAGACACAGGACAACAGGATTTTGGTATAGCTCCTCAGACTACCGATTAGCCAGTGATGATCTGGGACCAAGATCTCATTTTTTATAATGATTAGACATAATGTGAAGCTATTTCTCCACTTACTCATCAGCATACCATCAGATGGCATCAGTAAAGGAGACAATCTGGATGTAATAAGAAGTATATTGTTTCTATTATAGCATATTTAACAACTGCCTATTACAAATAGTCAGGGAATAATACATGGAAATATGTCAGTGTTGTAAAATAACTAATGCACCAAGATGCATCAAGCTATTTCCATCCCTTTGGTTTTATTAAAAGAAATAAAAGGGATGCTGTTGTTGCTGCCTCTACCCTGCTGCAGGGTCTTAGTCTTGAAGCTGGAAAGGCAAGAAAAGTGCAAAGTCCTTCCTAGCTTGAGCAGTAGAAATAACTCCCTCTACAAGCAAGGTTATAGCTGAGGTGGTTTGCAGGATATTTAACATACCTGTTTGTCCTGGAAAACCAGGTGGTCCTTTACTGCCTGGAAGCCCTGGAAGTCCTCGGGAGCCTGGAGGACCTGGGGGGCCTTGTGAGCCAGGAGATCCTTTGATACCTTTGATGCCAGGTGGCCCAGCTAAGCCCCTGTCTCCCCTCTGACCTTTAAAGCCTGGTAAGCCTGAGAAAAAAAGATATTTAATTTATGTATGTAAATAGAAGTGTTCAGTATCTGTATCTAAAAAAGTAGAATGTGATAGATTTTGGTATAAGCGTGAGCATCATCAAACATGGCAAAACTTGGAAACTTTGCTATGATGTTGGAGTCTCTGCTCTGTCTACAGTTTTCACCTGAATGTTTGCTTTCTTGTATTTCTTTAGTGAGATATATAGCAGTAGAAGTGTCCTGTGAAAAAACTCTGATAATTAGTAAATAATTTTGATACATATGTCTTCTAGCTCTCCCCAAATAACACTATCATTTAAACATAAGGATGATAAAAGTATCACAGTAGGGACAGGAACCTTGGTAAAGTTACAGAGCACAACAAAATAAGAGAGAACTCTTTTTATTACCTGACAGCAAACAGACTGATTTATCCAGTTGAGAAACAGCATGGGAGAGGAAGGAAAGTTGAGATACATCTGAGATGCACACTATACATTCCTATACATGCAAAACAATGTACACCCCCACCAATGAACAGCCCCCATAGAAATATTTGTCATGCCAGCCACAAAAATAATGTGATTAAGTCTGCTAGAAAAGGTGCACAAAGCTTAGAGCTGCGAGGCAACCTGATGAGTGTTGTGTACCTTGAGGTCCTGGCAAGCCTGTGACACCTCTGAGTCCTGGTGGCCCTGGTAAGCCTGTGTCACATGGTGGGCCAGGGAAGCCTGGACAGCCTGGTGCTCCTGTATCACCTTCTGGGCCTCTAAAACCTTTGACACCTGGAAATCCTGGGGTACCAGGCTGTCCTGGAGAAAAAAACCCAAACAAACACATTGGAAAATGTTTTCTTTACATTACTCACCAACCCTCAGAATTCCTAACTGTACTTTTGAAATGTACATGGTCAGTTAGTGTAATATTTTATCCTCTAGTGTTTGCCAAGTTTGGAAAACTGATGCTTTTCTGCAATTTAGAGCTGGTTGTTGTGGGAAACTTCTTTCTTTAAGGAACAAATACAAAATCCACTCTCAGCTATAGGTGAGGATGACTTTATGGTACAAACAAGTAGCTCCCGATGTGTAGGAGCAGAACGGGAGGAGCTCACTGGCCTGCACCAGCTACCCAGCACTGGGGTCAGTTCTATAGGTGTTTCCTGCACAAAAGGGTTGTGTGTTTGTTTAGGGACAGGCAAAAGGAAGACCTATGAAAGGGCAGAGCAGTATCTGCAAGAGGTGGGAAGGATGTGGCACTGCTGAGACATCTGTCTGCTTCAACCAGCAAATCTCCCCTGCAGAAATGAGGAGTGTAGTGCCCAAGATATTGAGGATTGTGTCATGGAAATCTGGGCAAAGAAATTCACTCCTCTCTCCTTGAGTATTCTCTTACCTTTTTCCAGTCTCTTCAGATTAGGGTAAGCAGCATGAGGCAGGGACTGTCTGTGTGATGGAGCAGGAGGCCCAAACCACAAATGGGCACTAGGCAGCAAACAACAGTACTAAGAACAGGAAGCTGCACGGTTACTCCGTACACCGGGGAAAGGTATCTCTCCCTCCCTGTAGTCCAGGTCTCCTCACATGGCTGATCAACCTTAACTATAAAAATAGGGTGTACCATTCACCACCACCATAATGGATCCAGGTAAAAGTGAGCTTTATCTGAATCTGGACAGACTTTCCTCAGATTTTCTCCTTTCAACACATGGAAATGCTTCATAAAAGCTGGCTCATACCTCGAAGTCCAGGAATCCCTGGATCACCCCTTGCTCCTTGTGCCCCAGGGGGTCCTGGTAGTCCCCTGTTGCCTGAGATTCCCGGAGGACCATATGTAGTATCACCCGGAACACCTTTCAGACCATCCATGCCAGGTGGACCTGGAGGGCCATGTTTGCCATCAACTGTAGATCCTCTTTCACCTTCATCACCAGGATCACCAACTTTGCCCCGAAAGCCTGTTGATATGATTTTTTAATTTGAATAGCTGTTGTTTTTCTCCAAAACTGTTGAATATTATAATGCAAATTTAACCAGAATTAAATTATCACTCTGCAAAGAAAAATATAATACATTAAATGTCAGGGGTTTTTGTTCAATGAGAATTGAAGGAGGTAATTACTCCTGTGGGAAGTGACTACTTTTCTTTGAGACAGAATCTATCTTTTGTACTGTCACTCTTGTCCAGGTCAATCTCTTTGCTAAAATTTATATTAATTGTTCACAGTTTTTTGAGAGTATTTCCTCTCTGGACACTGAACTTTGGGTTATTGCGGCACCTGTAATGCTTGAGGAAAGAATGGGAAACTGGTAAAGATTGTTCTTCCATTAGGTTTCATGAAATGTCTTTCCTGTTCTGTTCTACTGTGGCAGCTTCCTTACATACATGTGTGAATTACAGCTTGACCAGCAGGTCTCCTGAATTAAGAAAAGCACAGTTCACCTTCTGGCCCAGGAATTCCTGCTCCTGGCCTGCCTCTATAGCCTTTTTGTCCATCAAAGCCGTTTGGTCCGGGACGACCGGGGAGTCCTTTCAAACCCTTTGGTCCTGGAAAAAGAAACTATGTAAAAAAACTGACCGAGCTCTAAAATCAGTGACCTAAGGAAGCAGTAATGTGTCTTTACCCCATAGCAAATTTGTGCTTTGAAGACAAGTGGATTTAATTTGTTTCTGAAATTTTGGGAGAAGCCATCACACAAGTCACAACCCAATGCACGGCTGCTGGTTTTCTAAATGGACTTCTTCCCTAATCTGTAAACTACAGAAACTGCAAATCACCAGAGTAAATACATTTTTAAAAATCTCCTATAACATTTTAATGTTACAGAACAACAATATTAACCTAACAATTGACCAGGTGTCAACTCAAATTGTTGTATTGTCCTGTGTTACAGGCTGCTTCTGGAATGTTGCAGATGAGCTCAATCCCTGCTCTTTCATGTCTATAAATTTTAGCTACCACCCACAATACTGATGCTGGGGGGCTGCATAATACCATATTAAGAAGCTTGCAAATCCAGTATGTCCATTTGTTCTGATCAGGATTTTCTGGTGTATTTCAAATGTTTTGCAGATGATAATAAGAAACATTTTGTCAGTTCCTGGATGACTTCATTGAATTTAAGTTGAACAACTTGAAGTAATGGTAATAAGTATTCAGATTTTAGGGCTCAATTGCAATGGCTGTAAGCAATAGAAATTACAGACTTGTTTTAGAACTTACAGACTTGCAGCATATCTTGCCTTGCAGCCCTTTCTTTCCTGGTATCCAGATGCACATATTCTAGATCTTACCTGACTCCATCTGTATCTTTTACAGACTCTCTCATGCATTTTAATTGAGCTAGGACAGTGTTTCAAGCTACCTTTATTTAGTCATTTCCATGATGCAGCCCATGCACCTTTTGATCATGCAAAGTGCAGTTGTTCTTCGTTCTGTTAGATAATGTGTATTTGTAGTTTTACAGTTTGAGACATGTATCTGTTGAAAAACTAGGATAGTGTCTCTTTGAGCAACCTGGTCTGGTGGGAGGTGCCCCTGCCCATGCGGGTAGCTTGGAACTAGATGATCTTTAAGGTCCCTTCCAACCCAAACCATTCTATGATTTTTAGGATAGCTTCTTTTTGTAAATTATAATCTTAAAACACCATTTCAATTAAAACAAAAAATTCTCCCCTCTGTCAACATACCTTGAGCACCTTTAAAACCCGGAGGACCTGGGTTTCCAGGGTATGGTACTGTAATGAAGACAGTCTCACCTGAAGCAAGAGGGAGAAAAAAGCTGGCCTGTGTTTCTTTTGAGAATAAATGGAGTCTGAAAATTTACTGTAGTATTTCTGTGGAAGTAAACAACCAGGTGTGCAAAGCTAAAGAGAAGAGACTGCTTATGTGCATTATTTCCATATTAAGGTTTGAAGAACCTTAAAATGTATTTTTGACACCTATTTTGTATAGAATCTCGGTAATGATTCAAATTGTTATAATGCAGTTGTATTCTGTAGAACCAGGTTTGGTTTTTTTTTACTTATACTAACAATTGTCTTGTTGCAAGAAAGAGGTTGTCTTTTTATCTCAATTCTGTGTATGTTTCTGGTTCATACATATTGCTATCAGTGTAGATCTTCTTCTTTTAGGAATTTTTTATAACAAAAAAAACAACATCCAAGCCTTAAGTACTAATTGTGTTTTCCTGCTCCTTCAAATTGCCTTGCAAATCTTTACACTCAGGCATGCTCTTCACTCCAGGAAATGATGCCTCTGAGGGTATGCAAGTGGCCCTTTGCAGGCTTAAGGCTCCTAGCAATTCATATCCTCACTAGTTCCTGCTACTTAACTGCTGACAGTGTTGTACCTGTCAGTGGCCATAATTTCACATGACCCCCACTGAGCTTGCCAAAATTGATTTTCACTGTAAATTAATAGCACTGTATATAAAACATGTGAAACTGGAATGGATGCTACCAATCATGGCTCTTCATATGAATATTGAAAATTACCTTTCTGGCCTTTTGTGCCAGGTGGTCCAACACTGCCAGCATCACCAAAGTCTCCAGGGCTACCTCTGAGTCCTGGAGGGCCAGGAAGCCCCAGACCAGGTAATCCCATCTGCCCTTTTATCCCAGGAAGTCCTGGGACCCCAGGAAACCCTTTATCACCTGGCAGTGATACTCCAGCATCACCCTAAAGGAAATAAAATGTTTATAAGATGTGACAAGACATAATTTCTTACCTCTGTTTGAGTATAGAAAGCTGTGTTGAAGAATGTTTCTCCATATCTGGAGAAACCACTCTTCTGCAATTGAGTGACTACAAGGATTATGATAGTTTTAAATATTCAAAGACAACAGGACAAAGGATAGGATCTTGTTGAATTTTTCTTTCTGATCCCATAACATTGGTACACAGTATATGCAGAAGTTAAATTCAGGAATACCAAAATAAACAGTAATACTTCCAAGAAAATACTTTTTCAACACACAAACTATGATTTTTTTTTTTTTTTTAATGAAGGCTAACATAAAATGATAAAACTGATTAATCTGCTGGGAATGTGGAATAAAATAGTATTTTTTAAGTAGCTAACTCCTCCATAAGTCAATATGTTAACTGAAATGGGAAAAAAAAATAAATCTGAGAAAGTCAAACATACCTCAGCTCCTTTTTCCCCAGGCAATCCTAGTTCCCCATCTCTGCCATCATTACCTCTTTGGCCTGGAAATCCTGGAACTCCAGTAGGACCTCTTTCACCTTTTACTCCTTGAAGCAATGTTTAAAAAATGAAGTATAATATTTGCAGTGCATTTTGTTTTGTTTTTATTTTGTGCAGATGTGTAGAAGAATCAGGTCCATGGCTGAGTAACCATTCATCATATTGGTATAATTTCCAGTTCCTGAACTCACATTTCCTTAATGAGATATTTTAGGCTTTGGAAGGCAGTGTGTTGTTAGGACACCTCATGAAACAACTTGGTTACCCTGTAGACATATTTACAGGCACCACAAGAATGTGGCTTTTGTTCCTGCTACATAGAGAGTGAAATATTTTGCTGTTTAAATTAGTCAGTTTTATTCTTTGTTTCAGTGAAATCAGGATGTAGCAGTGCCACATGATGCAGAATATTTGCATTAATATTCCCTAAAGTTTTTCTTTTTTTAACCTAGGTTTCTCTTGCAGTGATATTAATGAAAATGTAATTTTTTGCATAAAGGACAATAAAACTCTTCTAACTCATTTTGATGTGTCAAGAAATCCTTTGCAAATAAACAGCAAATGTTTTGCCCTGCTCCAACATCTGTAAGCAAACACAAGCATCCAAAGCAAAGCTGACTTTTCATGAGCAATAAGATGGACAATCTTTTTTTCTGAATAACTAGTTTAGCTTTTCTAACTAAGCTTTGCAATCAGATTGCTGTAATTTGTTGTTCTGTTTCTTTTGCTTTTGCAAATCATAGCCATAACTGTGGAGAGGTTTTTATCTATTGATTCACAAAAAAATTCAGTTGTACAAACAGTGCCCTATTTTTTCTCTTCAATACTTGGTCAAGAGTAATTTTTAGAAATAGGAGCAGGAGGCTGAATAGCCATTGAGACTTTCAGTTTTTCCCAAGAATAACATTGGTAGTTTAAGTTGTGATAGCAGCTGGGATACCAGCATAGGACACTGTAGGAGGTAGCTTCTTTACAAGACTCTTTCTTCATGCTTTCATAATAATTGTATTCTGCTTAGTCTTTGCTATGCACACCTTTCTGTAAGACCTTAAATGTTGATCATAGGACATGAAAAGTTGTTTGTTAATGGTAACAGCAAGCTGGTAAAACTGCTTTGTGGCTCATCTGTAGAGTAAAGATCACAAAATCTTGTATTGAGCAAGAAGAAAATGAACAAGCTGATACCAGGAAAGCAGGACCTCTAGGTTTCAGTAACTTACTAAATAATTACTTTATTCAAGAGTAGATTAATAAGGTTTCCTCACACTATTGCCTGGGCACTTTATAAGGAGCAAAAAGGTGAATGATAAAATGTGTGTTTACCTTTTATTCTAATTCTTCCCGTATCACCCTTCTCTCCTTTTTCACCATGTGGTCCAGGAGAACCAGGTGTCCCCTTACCATTGGAAAAAAAAAAAAAAAAGTTATCTCCAGCAAGGAATCAATGATGGAATTTGGGGAAAATGAGATACTAATCTCTTGCTCTTGCATTGTTTTCCCAAACCCAGACCAATTAAAGTACCATGCCAAAAGGAAAGACTTGTCTCTTTTGATGTCTAAAAGAGGTGTGTGAAAGCATCTGGCCTTTTCAGCCTGATTCTGCCAAATGCACAGATACACAGCTGGAATAAATGGTAATGCTAGAAGAATCAGGCCCAGGGCTGTATAGAGCTGTGGCTGTAAATGCAAGAATATTAAGATGCACACAATTAACAAACTCTTCCCACTGTAGATTTCAACTGACAATCTACTTAGGCTACAGAGGAAGGGAATCTCCAGGGTGCTGTGACTGCTGGATGAGGCTTTTCTCAGAGGTGAACATAGCAGTAGGTAAGTGATGCTTTTTTGCTGAGTGAAAGGCCACAAAGCTGTCAATAAAAAAAAATTATATACATCCAGTTAGGTACCTGCTATTGTTGGAAGAATCAACGACTTGACAGGTTTAGAGGGGAAACCAAGTACTTCTGTACATTTTAATGCTGATTTATGATCTCAGCTCTCCATGCAGAGTGCAGTTTGCATATCATCAGTGGTGAGGGTCTGTTCTTCCAACAGAGCATGTGGATAAATGTATTTTACCATGTGAAATTTACACAAGTAAAAGGCTACAAAGGCCAATAAACTTAACTAGTTTCCTTGTTATCTTGAGGAACTTGAAATTGTTACATCATAAAGAAGCTATTCAAGCAAATAAAAGGTCTTTTTTGATGTTTATAGTAATTTTTCCTTCTAAGAGCTATTAAATCAAGGGCAAAATTTTTATTCCACTTCAGCTTCATTGTCAAGATGTATGCATGGACTGATCCTGTGGACAACAAACTTTGTGTAGTGTCTGAAGATGGAAGATTATAAAGTAATATGTAGCAGCAAAGGGATAAACACTAACAAATAGCAATGCCCTTCAGACTCTCTAGGAGTGACAGTCTATGTTTATGCTCAGACTGCATCATAAAATAAAGTAAGCATATAAAATAAATTAAGCCTTTCAATTAATTTATAAAAAAGGAATAAGGAAAATTACTTGAAAAGCCTGAATAAAATAAGTGGCTACTTTTTCTTCAGGCCACATCCCCACCCCAGGTGATTGTTTAATCATAGAATTCATCTGGACCTGCTAACATAATGTAATTCTTTGTCTTGAAGGTTTTGCTGGAAATGCTCTCCTTAGAAATATCTGAAAAATCCTTTTCAATGAAGCAATTTGTGCACCTACAATATTTTCAAGAAAAATAATGGATATTCAAAGCTTAAAGTAAAACCATGTCAAAGCAAAATGAGATGAACGTGCACCCACTTTCCTAAGCCTTGTGACCTCCCCAAAAACACAGCATGGAATTCTGTCCCTCAGTTTAAAACTGTGCCCACTGTTGCATGGGAAATCAGGTAAAAGTTAATGAAATGCATCCTCCCACAAGACTGTAAGAAGCAAAAGTAGATACAACTTTTAGATAGTTTTCCAAGTTTCTTCCACTGCTTCTCCTCTACTGTACCCTGTGTGGCAGGTCTTCCAACAACAATAATTATTTTTTATTTATATTTAGACTTATTTTGTATATTTTCTTATATTATTAATATCTACAAATAATTATATTTGTTTAAATATAATATATTTAGATTTTTAAATTTAAATATTATTTACTGAAGCTCATGAAATCTACTCACAGGGAGGCCTGGTGAGCCCACTGCACCAGATAAGCCTGGATCGCCCTTTTCTCCATGTCTTCCAGGATATCCCATCTGTCCTTTCTTTCCTTGAGTACCTGGAGGTCCTTGAATACCACGCGGACCAGGAGGACCAGCACTACATGAGCAGAGGCCTTGATTTCCTACGTGAGTGCATCAAAATTTCATCAAAACAGTTGCAAATTAATACACACAAAAAAACCCCACTGTCCTTTTTATTTATTTGTGTTAGTAGTACACAGGCCAATTTTTCTCACTATGGCCTTCAAAGGAGTGAAACCATCAGTCTCTTTTATAGGCCTGAATAACTGCTGCACTGACATGACTCTACTGACAGAAGCCCCTGCATCAACATTCCATTTAACTCCACATTTTGATGGGCCTTATCCTCGAAGTTACTATAAACTTGCAAACTTAGGTCTGATGTATCTGGCAAAGGTCTC